CGCGATCTCGTTACCAGAGGCAAAGGGTTTAGTGACTGACACCCCGCATTTCACAAAGAAAACACATGACTTAAACGCAATGTCACTACCTCACACAACGCACAATTACAAGACTAGGCGAACAAGTAAAGTCAGTAGAACTCGCAGATTTCTCTGTCAAAATAACAGTTTCATTATTTCAAAAAAGACACCCGCTGCTTCTAACAGATTTCTCTACTTTGTTAGTGACTCTCCAATTACAGTTTTATTATTCTAAGCAACTGTCTTCTTCCAATATTGCGCAGGTTGAAAGTTGCAGCGAACCCTTAGATTTTTAAAACTTGAAGGTTAACTGAATACTTCTCTGCAAACTCGTTTGTTCTAGTTTGTCGCAGGAGGAGATGTGACCTCCTTTCAAACTGGAAAGTTTAACATGTCTGATAGCTTTCAAGAGTGGAGCTGCAGCAGCGCATGTACACCACCTCAACACTGTTATTTACCACGCTGCACAAAAATTCCTTTCCCTGAAACATTTAGCGGATCAGGAAAGGTCAGTTAACTTTTCTAGATGCTAAAAAATACAAAGTATGAATAGCAATCTAAATTTAGTTAATTACACAGACAAAACCACCCTCAATCGTTTACTTATTGTGTTATTATTATTATTAATTTTTTTTTCAAACTTTTTTTTGAGGTTCATGTGCACGTATCGCTAAGTCACGGCGAGAATTTTTCACGTCTTCACTCACCTGCTGCATTGTGGGTTCATTCTGTCAGTACACGTGGATTTGAGGTATGCGCACGTGAGGCTGGTGCTGGATCAAATGGAACTGGGATCATAAACTGGATGGCGTTCCACGATCAACCACAAGTTACATCTGGCAGGATAGCGTTCGGTGGAACGTGGACAACAGAAACCAAGTGCGACAAAGTGACGTTTAAAAAGGTAAGTGTTAGAAGCAAAAAGAAAGGCGCGGAAAATATATATTACCTTTTCCATTTTTGCTATGCACTACTAGGTCACCTATGTCATCTAGGTCATCTATAAATAATTTTTGCCTTTTATCTTACGCCCGTCAGGATCTATTCATTCCTCAGTTTATGTGTTCATGATTTATTCTATCGAGTACGCGAAACCGATTTCTCAAATTGAAGAAAGTTTAAACGATTGTCCTGTGATTTTCCCTTTGATATACTGACAAAGATCTTAAAATTTCAGAGCTTTGCTGCGAGGCCCTTTGTTTTTGTCTCGGCGAAGTACACTCGAGCTACGAAGCCCAGTGATGCAGTGTATGTTTGGTTAGAGAACGTCAGTTCCAGAAGCTTTGAGGTGTGCATCAAGGAATTCTTACCATTTGATGGAAAACACCAAGATACAGTGGTGGTGGGTATAGCTGTTACCTGTTTGCTTTTCAATTGTTCCATAGCTAGGCTGACTATCATTGTCGTCATCATTAGCACCTTATTCATCATCATTATCATCATCGTCATTATCATCATAATCATCAGCACGATTATCAGTATCGTCAGTATCATTGGTATCGTCAGAATCGACATTGTGATCATCACCAGCAGCATCAGCATCAGCATCATCATCAACGACTCTCCAGTTCTCAGGTGTTTTTCTGGGTCTTTCAAAGCCATTTCTCAGCAGCTTCCCGCAGATTAGAGAAGAAGATGTGAACGGTACCAAGGATGGCTGACAACTCATGCACTTCCAAAAATGTAAGGCAGACTTAACCTCCCACACCAGTCTTTTGCATTCTTCGGGATGGTTCCAAGTGCACAAATCACGATGGGTATTACTGCCACTAGACTTTTTGGATTGTTTTATATTTGAGTGCTAGGTTTTGATACCTTTCCACTTTCTTCTCTGCTGTAATAAAGATATTCTGGTCCGTTGGCACAGCTACGTAAATAAGTGCCCACTCCTGTGTGCCTTTGTGCACCACAGTAATATCTGGTCGAGTTTACTTCGGCCGCTTGTCCGCATATCCCAAGTTATCCTCACTTCTCCATTCCTATTTTCTCTCTGGGCAAACTTCCTTCATGCACTGACAATATGCTATACTGCATATTCGTGTCTTAGAGGTCTTATCATATCTATGCTGTGCTTGACAAAATTTGTTCCTAAAGCTTGTTCTTAAGCGGCGAGGATCAGTCCTGTTCCCTTTTTTATAAAATCTAAACCATCTCCAAAACTCCTCTCCAGCCGCCTGAAGTTTGCCTAGCAAACTCTCCATGCGGGGCTTTTCCGGTTTCTGACTTTCTCCTCTTTCTACTGGTAGTCCTGGGGGTTCTTTTCCTAAACAAGCACCTTCTCCTTTAAAGCCATTTGCAGCATCCTTTCTGTGCTCTCTTTCGGGTGGCCACACAAGAATATGCACTCACTCTTTACAACTCCTCAATGCTAATGAACCCTCTCTCTCTTCCTTCCTCGATGAATAGATACAGTCTGGCGACATTTTTTATGGTGTGTAAACAGCAGCCATTCAGTGACAACATAACCACTATAAACAGCGAGGGTGACAAGAAATAACTTGAAAGTGTAGTTTCTGATGTCGACCTGCCCAAGCTCCGCACCATCTGTTGTCAACAGTGTCTGTTCAGTGTCAAGTTCACCACGCTGTTACTGAGAGATCATGTCTTGTCTCTTGTCTTGTTTCTGCTCAGTAAATTCTGTTAACTTAATATGGTGTTAAGAGTTTTCCATGTACAAGTCTAGCATCCTTTTTCTTTAGCCTCGCCCCTTTGGCTCACTCCAGATGTAACCTTTAAACAGTTGTTTGCTGTTCTCCTTTCACCACTTCAAACTCTTCTGGCGTCGTTCAGCAGTAACAGGATGACCACCGGGCCTGCGTTGTTGATCCACAGGACACGTGCCGGACCCGACACCTTCGCTGGTCACCCCAGTTTTGTTGACGTCGTCTGGGTAAAATTGGACATTCTCTCATTAAATGAGATTGTGTTTTAAGGTTTCCACTAACCAATAGTTTATCGTGCCACTATCACTAGAAGGATTGCTAACCAAAGCTCAGAGAGATCACTATACAAGATAACCTACCGTGCCAGACACCAACCTGGTGTTTTCTGGTATAGAGGGACCAATAAGGGAATAACATGACTTTTTGAGGGAATATTGTTTATTTGCGCCCGCGTAGTGTCATTTGCGGCCCGAGCGCGAAGCGCGAGGGCCGCAAATGAGTACAAGGGCGCAAATAGACAATATTCCCGAAAAAAGTCATGTCATTATCATTATTATCAATAAACAAGGCCAAATGATATCAAGAATGCGAGTTTTAATAATACAAATTAAACTAAGTGAATAACGAATTCAAAGTCACTTCAAATCATCATGTAAGTGTTGATTGAACAAGCTATTAAAGAATCAACTCAGTCCAGTGAACTTATTTAAAATTTATTTGATAATTTCAGTGTCCAAAACCTCCAATTTATGAAACGCTTTCCTCCCGTCGCATTGTACCTCTTTCAGGTTTAATTATTTGTTTCCGCCGTAGATCGAATGATTCATTTATCCTCAACCCCTTTTATGATAAAATAAAGACTAAATGTACTAATTTTAACGTGTTTTTGTCGTGCTTAAAAAGGTAAAATGCAGTTTGGCTTAATGAAACGAGAACACTGGCACAATTTCAAATACACCGAAGTACAGAATGCGCGAAAATTCTTTAACTGGCTCCATAACAAAATACACAAACTTCAACAAATCAGAGAGCTTACAATTGTCACTGTCACACAAGTGTTTTGTATTTTCGTGCTTCCCTTGGTAGTTAACTTAGCTAGCTTTGACGCATACGCGATCTCGTTACCAGAGGCAAAGGGTTTAGTGACTGACACCCCGCATTTCACAAAGAAAACACATGACTTAAACGCAATGTCACTACCTCACACAACGCACAATTACAAGACTAGGCGAACAAGTAAAGTCAGTAGAACTCGCAGATTTCTCTGTCAAAATAACAGTTTCATTATTTCGAAAAAGACACCCGCTGCTTCTAACAGATTTCTCTACTTTGTTAGTGACTCTCCAATTACAGTTTTATTATTCTAAGCAACTGTCTTCTTCCAATATTGCGCAGGTTGAAAGTTGCAGCGAACCCTTAGATTTTTAAAACTTGAAGGTTAACTGAATACTTCTCTGCAAACTCGTTTGTTCTAGTTTGTCGCAGGAGGAGATGTGACCTCCTTTCAAACTGGAAAGTTTAACATGTCTGATAGCTTTCAAGAGTGGAGCTGCAGCAGCGCATGTACACCACCTCAACACTGTTATTTACCACGCTGCACAAAAATTCCTTTCCCTGAAACATTTAGCGGATCAGGAAAGGTCAGTTAACTTTTCTAGATGCTAAAAAATACAAAGTATGAATAGCAATCTAAATTTAGTTAATTACACAGACAAAACCACCCTCAATCGTTTACTTATTGTGTTATTATTATTATTAATTTTTTTTTCAAACTTTTTTTTGAGGTTCATGTGCACGTATCGCTAAGTCACGGCGAGAATTTTTCACGTCTTCACTCACCTGCTGCATTGTGGGTTCATTCTGTCAGTACACGTGGATTTGAGGTATGCGCACGTGAGGCTGGTGCTGGATCAAATGGAACTGGGATCATAAACTGGATGGCGTTCCACGATCAACCACAAGTTACATCTGGCAGGATAGCGTTCGGTGGAACGTGGACAACAGAAACCAAGTGCGACAAAGTGACGTTTAAAAAGGTAAGTGTTAGAAGCAAAAAGAAAGGCGCGGAAAATATATATTACCTTTTCCATTTTTGCTATGCACTACTAGGTCACCTATGTCATCTAGGTCATCTATAAATAATTTTTGCCTTTTATCTTACGCCCGTCAGGATCTATTCATTCCTCAGTTTATGTGTTCATGATTTATTCTATCGAGTACGCGAAACCGATTTCTCAAATTGAAGAAAGTTTAAACGATTGTCCTGTGATTTTCCCTTTGATATACTGACAAAGATCTTAAAATTTCAGAGCTTTGCTGCGAGGCCCTTTGTTTTTGTCTCGGCGAAGTACACTCGAGCTACGAAGCCCAGTGATGCAGTGTATGTTTGGTTAGAGAACGTCAGTTCCAGAAGCTTTGAGGTGTGCATCAAGGAATTCTTACCATTTGATGGAAAACACCAAGATACAGTGGTGGTGGGTATAGCTGTTACCTGTTTGCTTTTCAATTGTTCCATAGCTAGGCTGACTATCATTGTCGTCATCATTAGCACCTTATTCATCATCATTATCATCATCGTCATTATCATCATAATCATCAGCACGATTATCAGTATCGTCAGTATCATTGGTATCGTCAGAATCGACATTGTGATCATCACCAGCAGCATCAGCATCAGCATCATCATCAACGACTCTCCAGTTCTCAGGTGTTTTTCTGGGTCTTTCAAAGCCATTTCTCAGCAGCTTCCCGCAGATTAGAGAAGAAGATGTGAACGGTACCAAGGATGGCTGACAACTCATGCACTTCCAAAAATGTAAGGCAGACTTAACCTCCCACACCAGTCTTTTGCATTCTTCGGGATGGTTCCAAGTGCACAAATCACGATGGGTATTACTGCCACTAGACTTTTTGGATTGTTTTATATTTGAGTGCTAGGTTTTGATACCTTTCCACTTTCTTCTCTGCTGTAATAAAGATATTCTGGTCCGTTGGCACAGCTACGTAAATAAGTGCCCACTCCTGTGTGCCTTTGTGCACCACAGTAATATCTGGTCGAGTTTACTTCGGCCGCTTGTCCGCATATCCCAAGTTATCCTCACTTCTCCATTCCTATTTTCTCTCTGGGCAAACTTCCTTCATGCACTGACAATATGCTATACTGCATATTCGTGTCTTAGAGGTCTTATCATATCTATGCTGTGCTTGACAAAATTTGTTCCTAAAGCTTGTTCTTAAGCGGCGAGGATCAGTCCTGTTCCCTTTTTTATAAAATCTAAACCATCTCCAAAACTCCTCTCCAGCCGCCTGAAGTTTGCCTAGCAAACTCTCCATGCGGGGCTTTTCCGGTTTCTGACTTTCTCCTCTTTCTACTGGTAGTCCTGGGGGTTCTTTTCCTAAACAAGCACCTTCTCCTTTAAAGCCATTTGCAGCATCCTTTCTGTGCTCTCTTTCGGGTGGCCACACAAGAATATGCACTCACTCTTTACAACTCCTCAATGCTAATGAACCCTCTCTCTCTTCCTTCCTCGATGAATAGATACAGTCTGGCGACATTTTTTATGGTGTGTAAACAGCAGCCATTCAGTGACAACATAACCACTATAAACAGCGAGG